ATAATTTAAAATAAATTTTTTCATATTTAAATATTTATAAGTTAATTTAAATTTGACTTGAAATTTGATTTGAACTTGACTCAACTCAAATAAATTTAAGTCAAAATTGAGTTGAGTTAAACTCGAGTTGAGTCAAATTGAGTCAAGTTTAAAATTTATATAACTCAAATCAAATCAAGTTGAAAGATTTTATAAAATAAATTTGACTTGACTCAACTTGAAAAAAATGAGTTAAATAGAGTTAATTTTTAAACTCAACTCAATTCGACTCATTCAGAACTCTAATACTATATCATAATCTAAACTTTCAGAGTTCTCTGACACCCCTGCCCTTTTTCATCTAGAGGCTGAAAAAAAAGTTAGTCTGGTAATTCGTTATTTTAGTGAGAATTACTTGATAGGCATCCTAACTCGTAACAAATTAGTTACGAGAAATGATGAGAATTTGATTACAATTCTTAATGATGAAATAGCAAATTATCAAGATATTCCATTCATACCAATCGATATAAAAGAAGCTAAAAAATATATTAATAATATCCTTTATTATGTCTCCGCCTTTACAGATACCTTATTAATGGCCAGAAAGCAATTGTAACTATTACTGATATTAAGGTATTTTTTGATATTTATATTTTTGATAATACAAGTATTCCTAAATTCTAGTCCAAAATAAAGGATATTCTTACTACTGAGAAAGATGGTAATGGGAACTAAAGATGATACTGCAACTAGTTGTAACCATGTAATGCTTATTTATCACAGGGTTGCAACTAGTTGCAACTTAATTTTATTAATATTGCAACTAGTTACAACCCTGTGACAAATAAGCATCACATAGTTGCAACTAGTTGTAGCACCATCTTTAGTAAGAATACAGTGAACATGAATCTAATCCAGATAGAATGTATAAAGGCGTTCCCTATCCATAGTTTTCATATGGAAAAAGCTGTATCTCTATATTATTATACCTAATAAAGATAAAAGGTTTACTGCTCTCAATATCATCTCAAGCTACAATTCAAAGGTTGGTTTTGAATGTAAAATAGAGACAGCTTCAGATGATATAGGTACATATTATTATAAAGTTATGAGAGAATATAGGATACTACTTTCTGGGTAGGCATCTATAAGCAACTATAAATATAATTACAGTGCACCTTATTATATAAGATCCCATCATTACTCATATGTATTTTATGTCTACATTAATAATTTTTACCCTATAGAGAATTTTGAATCACTTTATAAAATCTATTTATCTTCTCTTTTACTTATGATTGAGCATTAGTTCTAACTCAAGATATAGAAATATATGATTCGCATGGATCAGAGAACTTCTTAGAAGTGAAAAATGACACGTCCTAAGTTTTTATGATCTGTATGACCTTATACTGAAAAGATGATCCAAAACTACTAAAATAAATATATCTTATTGATGTCAAGACAGCTATAGACCTGCACTAAACAACAATTATATGTAGGAATCAAGCCAATTTATTAAAAGCTTTTGCTTTATATTGGAAATTTTTTGCCTTAAATATCTAGCTTGATTTTAATGATTCAGGATATGATTGGCCCTTTATTGAGAAAAAGGCCACTAAATTAAAGATTTTCAAATGGATAGTTCAGCAAATATTGGCAAAACCACATAAAAAAGCTAATGCTAATTCTATTCTTATTTGAAATTATTTTTGGGAGAAAGAAAAAGCATCTAGCAGTAATTTCTTTCAGAGGAATTCATAATAGGTAAAAAGATGGATACGAGTTTATTAGATAAGGATCATAAAAAAACAGGATATTGAGAATCTATTAAGATCAAAATCTATTCTAGTTTAAGTATTGAATCTTACTTTCTTAAACTCCCTAGATATGTACTAATTGACATTTATGTAAGTTTTATGCAACTCTACTCCTATTCTGAGAAAATATCACTCAAATTCTTCTTAGAAAAGTGTGGTCTCGATGGCAAAGCTGATATGCCTATGAGCAAATTATGGAAGTATTATTCAGAAGTAAGAGATGGGACTTCTGACTCTTTCAAAAAATATATGCATGAAATCGTAAATTATTGTGTTATAGATGCTTTACATTATCAGGAGCTTATGGTCAAATCTAATGTTATAAGTGATTACAGAGAGGTAACTTCAATTACTCATATATTATTATTCAACTCACATTATTATATTATAAAACAAAAGTATTTAATCTCTTAGATACTGAAGCTTAGACGTAAGATATTCTATACATCATGAAAATTTTCAATCAGAAAGCATCTGGAAAGTTTCCAGGAGCATATGTATTCTCGCTGAAGAAGTCTTGAAAATAAATGTCCTGTCACAAATTTAGACTTTATTTTCTTATACTCTAGCATAATCATGACCTATAACCTCTCATCTGAGAAGATGGTCTCAATACTTTCAGAAGCAGATAAACTAAAGAGAGAGAATAAAATGCTTCACAGTATCAAGTTCAAATATAGCAGTAAATCTGTGCAAGCTTAGACTATACAGCATGAGAATAAATCTGATAAGAAAGGTTTATTTCTAAAATATTAGAAAATTTGCTCAATATACGAAATGAACTAAAGGTTCAGCTAAAACCTCTAAAAAGAAAAAGGAATATATGGGATTAGTTAAAAATAGATTAGATTCAGCCAGCAAGTCTACCTTAATGGCAAACGCAATTAAGGATATTTTTTTTTTAACAGAAGATACAAAAAAACGTACTGAGATAGTCTAAATTTTAGATTCTTTTATTGATGTAGTATATGCTACTTTTAAGAAAAAATACAGTTCTGTCTGTTTCACATATAATTCTCTAAATTCAAAGCAGAAAGCTATTAAATTATATATGAATTCATTCTATAATATGACAGGGCAAAGTAACTCCCATTCTATAAACTTAAACTTACTGGAGGTGTTACTTCAACTAGGCAAGAAAATATTAAACTTATTGTAGAATTCGTGAAAAAGAAAGGTTTTGGGATAAAATATGGTGATACTGATTCACTATATCTCACTTGCCCAGATTCCTATTATGAGAAATGTGATCTAACTTATGATGCTAGGAAAGACGTAATCTTAAAATTAGAGTATTAGACTAAAATGGTTAAAATTACTATGATCGTAATGGAGAAATTGTGCAATGAAGTAAACATCTTTCTTAGACTAAAAACTAGATCAGATTATCTTAAGATGGCTTATGAAGAAGTATTATTCCTAGTAATGTTTACTGAAAAGAAAAAATATTTTAGCATCTTCTATAAAGATATTCTAAACTTCAAACTGAAAGAGCTTTTTATAAGAGAAATCGATACTGTGAAATAGGGTAAATCTCAAGTTTTCAGAACTATAGAAGATAGGATTATGTCAAGAGTTATAGATATTAATAATAACTGATCACTCCATGATATCATTAAAGACATTCTTTAGGACGCTATAACTAATTTCAAGCAATAAAATTTTGAGCAATTTATAGAGACTGACACATGAAAACCTAATGTAAATAACCAAAGTGTCTAGCGATTTATAGGATGAATGAGGGAAAAATATGAAAATAAAATTTCAATGTCAGGTGAACACTTTAGTTATGTAGTGACCAATCTAGTCACAACTTTTAATTTATATGGCAGAAAGTTAAATCTGACTAAAGACAACAAAATGGAATTTGTGGACGTAGTTAAAAAATTGGGTAAGGAGTTAGATTTATATCATTATTATGAAAAAATACTATTAGTCTCTGTGCCTGATTTATCATATATGAGAAGAAATACAAGCCTACTCCTATAAGCGAAATCATGCAAATCAAAGATTCAGATAAAAAATATATGCAGATTGATAATTACACTTAAAAATAGGCTAAGTCATAGCTTGAAGAATTTGTTAAAGAAAATATTATAGTGAATGGTGCTACTTTTAAGATGATAATATTCTGCAGAAATGCTTATAAATGTGCCTATAAAAATGTGATCAAAGAAGTATAAGAATTGTTATATTAAAGATAAGTAGTTCATATGAAATATTTATGGTTGATGGCTTAGCTACAAGATTTTCATAGTAAGTAACCCTATTGATGTATTATAGGAGAAATTTATGAAATGCGTTAGGAAAATTTCAAAAGATAAAAACTTATCAGTGAATGATAAAATGAAGAAAAAAATATGCACTGATTTTACTTGATATTCTAGCAAGCTTGCAAACTATATTGAAGAGTATAATTTATTCTTTCATAAATTGTCTATCATATGTGTTATAAAGAACATGTATTAATTTCAGAAGAAATCAGCCCAATTTTATCCATGCGAAAAAATTAAATAATTACTAACTTATCCACCTTATCTCACATATCAGAAATTGAAGCGCTAGATAACATTAGTAATTTATGGTATTTTCATCTTGAGAATATAACTGGGCTAGAGGCATTAGCAAAATACTTAAATAGATAATATTATTAAATATTCTAGTGAAGGTGTGACAATTTCAACTAAATACTTATAATATTATTTATATATTTTTTCTCATGCAATAATACCAGCTAACATTAATTTCTATATTTAATCTGAGTTTATAAGGCAAACATCTCTTTTAGCCTAGTTACAGAGTGGACCCTTCAGATATACTTGAAGATGACCATTAGTATTTTTACATATAATAATCTTGCAAAACTGTATTCTTAAAATACGATCAGCTGAAAAAATCTATATATTTTAAAGATAAGCTTTATTGATATAATGGCTAAACTATATTTTCAAGTTTTTTAGTATATAGGCTTCAAATCTAATAAAATCTGTCTTTCAATCACGAAAGAAGATAGACAGAAATTTCATAAAATAATAACAGATCAGGAGAAAATAACAGATATTATAATGAATGACTATCGATTTTTACTATGTTATAGGTATAATGGTAAAGGAGGTGACCTAATTCATATTGGTTAGTTATTAGCATGTATAGTATTTTAAGTAGAAAAAGTTTTAATAAACCCACCTAAAGATTTACAAAAAATGATATTAGTCTGCATTGAAAAAAGATTCGAAGAAGTTCCACTTGCGTCAATACTTATACAGTAGTCAATTAGGATTAAAAATAATTATAATCTGATTTGGCTGAGAGGTGTTTTGTATAATTCCTATTTATATATTTTTCGTAGGTAAAAATTTGATCGCTTTTTTTCTATATATTTTATATTTTTTTTCCAACCATAATCCATATAATTACAATAAGTAGTAAAGTAAGTATAGAATATATTATTATTAGTGATATTAAAGGCATTACTTCAGCGTCACTTACAGAAATTATTTGAAATAATAGATTAAGAGAGGAAGGTTAGCCAGAAAGTACTATGTATGATGAATTATTTATAGGCAGGGTGAAAGATCTACTTCATTATGCGAAACGCCTTTTGGTTCTTTCTTAAATGCTAACTGATCTTTAAAAGACCTATTTTCTTTTATCAATTTTAATCATTTTGAAGACCAAATATCTAGCTTCCGTTTGTATATGTTATCTGATAACTCTATCCCTTTTTTCATATATTCTATTTTATAATTTTTTGAATCTAGATTCTTCTTTAACTATTCCAATTCAAGTTTGAGAGAATCAATTTCTTTAGAGTCAAATAAGTTTATTTAAGCTGGCTTTTCTAAAAGTCCTCCTATTGCATTTGAATCATGAAATACCTGTTTTAGTTTTAAGTTATTCAACTTACCTTTTAATTCTCGTACTTTAGCTTCAAGAGAGAAAATCTTGGTCTTATTAGCGAACAAAGCTTTTTGGACCCAAATTAGCTCCTTTTTTAGTATTTTAATAGAATATTTGAGCAATTTAATTTCAGTAGAATATTTGGCTTTAAGCTCATATTGACTCTCAAAATGAGACTTCCATTCAGAAATAAGTTGGGATCTAACTTTAGTACTGGATGCATTTAACTGGCTAATCTTATTTCTAATATCAGCATAGGTTCGCTAAAACCCCTTTTCCCACTCATTGTATTTATCTATCAGTTTTTTACTGAGATTATTAATCTCAGAATTAAATTTAATAATGGATTTTATTTTATTTTTGAACTCATGCTCATATGCACTATCCAGCCGATAATCAGGTTTTTTATAAGAACCACCTTTTCTATCTTTTATATCATTCAATATATATATATTAGACATAATATTACCGTATAATCCCAAAAATAAGCACCACATAACACGCTCCTTTTATAGTAATTTATTTATTTATCACATGGAATTTATTATATTATTAGTCACGTATATACTGATAAATTCATATATATCACATGATGCTTATTTTCAGAACTATATGGTAGTATAGATATTTATTAGAAAAAAAATGCATAAATAAATTTCTAAGATAATAAACATAATCTGTTTATTTAGAATAATATATTCTTTCTGAATATCCTGTTTATTCTGTATATCCTATACATCTGAAATATTATCTTCCTATATATATTCAGAATAATACATTCTTTCTATATATCCTATTTAATAAATTATTTTGAAGTATTATATTAGATATAAAAAAATATTGTTACTATGCTTAGATGATGTATAAGATGTGATACCCCTCCTTTTTCACCAGCCGATTATGATCATATTATGCAATATGCTGAAAAAAATCCTAAAGATAAAGTTTAAAGGATTTAACAGATAAATATCACACATCACAAAAACATATTTATCAGATCTGAAGAGGTGAAGAAAAAAAAAAAGGTTACATGAAATCAACTAATTCATATGTCAACAGCTGGTCCTGAAGAGATTGCTTCACTTTTTAATATAAATGTTGTAAGCGGACAGATCGATTCAAAAATCTAAGGCCAAGATGTTTCTCCATTTGCAGAACTGAAAAAACAAATATGTAATGCTAAGATAAAGCCTAGCAAATCTATTGATTCAGTTTTAAAAGAAGGTGGAAAGGCAAAAAAGGCTAAAGAGAAGAAATTGAAGTCCAAGGATGGGATACCACTACTAATACCATCTCTCGTCCAGACTTAATCGATCTCAGTGAAATTAAAAATCTCTGATATAAAGAATGAGGAATAGCATGAAAAGGTGGTAGAAAGAAATGTAAAAAATATAGCAAATATGAAGAATATATTAGAATAATAACTCGTCTATTTTCTGCCTTAAGTATCTTTAGCAAGAAGTTTATCATAGCGTATCTGTAATCTTTTACAAAACTCATTGATTTCTGCATTATACTTAAGAGTGCTATATAGCATTTTTTTAAGTTCCTTATAACTTAATTTTTTTAATGTACCATCTTCGCTTAAATCTTGTGAGTCCTGAAAAATCTTGTCTAAAGCTGACAAATCATCACATTTAGAAGTAATATTTGCACAATTCAGCTCAAGTTTTTTCTTAATCTTATGCATGGTAACTAGAATAATATAGTCTTTTCTATTAAAAGGGATCTTTAGCTTATTGGTTTTCCAATCTATCGTGTAATTATATTTCTTTAAAAGTTGGTTAGAAAATATTAGTATCAGCTTGTGGTATTTTACAACAATAAAATCTTCATAAATAGTACAGCCAGGAGCTAAAGTAATAGGTAATTTGCGGATAACTTCAACAGATTCAACTGAGATAGTAGCAATACCGCTAAAATCATGTGTTTCAGATTTATCAATTTTAGCTCTTACGCATTCAATGATATTTTCTGTTATAATGAGAGGTTCAGCTCTAGAGTCAACTGTTATAGATGGAATTTTTAAACGTTTGATTTTACACTTTACTGACACAACACTTGTTTTTGGCTCCTTTCTCTGAACAAAATCAATTTCTATCAGATCATCCAAAGTCTTCTCTTCATCTGAGTCAGGTATTGTAAGAGCTAATTTTTGAAAAGTTAAAAAATCACTAGCTTTAGATTTAATATTTTTTCCTGATCTGACTTCTTAGTATCTAGCGAAAAAGCTTGAATCATATACGAAAGGAGAAGTTTTTTAAGTTCTTCTTGAAGGGTAGAATCAAGCTCACTTTGAACTATTTTGCGAATAGTTTCCTGATCAACTTTGGTTAAAAAAGAATTAACATTACTATTTTTCTGATCATGCTTTAGCGCTTCTAGTCCTTATTTTGTCTTGCGTGGCTTTTTTATAGTCTTAGAGCTTTTATTACTAAAAGAGTCTTTTTTCTCGCTATGTCTTACTTTTTTTGACTTGGCAATATTAATAGTGATATCACCCCAGAATCAGAAGAACTTGTGTTAGAATCAGAACTATCACTAGATGATATATCACAGGATGAGGTGTTAGAATCTGAATCAATAGTAGCGAGATTAACTTTAGCTTTCTTAGACTTGTTCTTCTTTTTCTTCTTCTGAATGCATTTGCGAGAATTATGTCTAGTTTGATTACAGTTAGAGCATCGCTGTTGTGTCTTCACAGCTTTTTTAATCGCTTTAGCCACATGTAGCTTTAACTGCTTTTTTATAAGCTCAGCAAGTTCTTTGTCAGAATCAACTTCAACCTTTTTCTTTGGCTTTGGTGACAAAGTAGAATTAGGAACAGGACCAAATTCTGGGGTTTTTCCCATAATCTATGATAAAAATCTACCTATATTTTCATTTCATAAATTTTTATATATTCTTATAAAATGTGGTTAGAATTGCGATGAAATTACTTGTTGAGGCCGTTGGGATTCTGAGGATGCCATTGTATTTTTATCAAGTTCTTGATTTCAGTTTTAGTCATTTCTGATTTATTAGTTTCTACATATGGATTAACCACTGAAAAATTGAAAAAGAAGATGGTGTATTCTTTTGAGATAATGTAAAATTTTCTGCTTCAGCTAAAGCTTCTACAATATTGTCATGCATATTATAAAACTTAGCTATTATTCAAAGATTATACTAGTTTATAGGACTTAAGCTACGAATTAATTACTCTCTTTGTTATTCAAATATTATTCCAGCTAATTTATCAGTCTTTTTGATTCAGGCGGAAAACTTTTCAATACCCATATCCCTTGCATAAGTTGGCCAAAAACTACCGTCTGTTTTAAGTGTTTAACAGTCATATAAGCAGTTTTAAATAAGTATAAATGTTGGCCAAGTGTTATGTTAAGTGCTATTGTAATAGCAGAAAATCCTTCACTAGCATTCAGTGCTACTGATGCAGTATTTATAGGCTCACCACCTATGATAAACCAGTCTTCATTTCATGTTTCATTTGGAATAATATTAGCACCAGTTGCGACTCCTGCTCCAATTCTACCAATTTCAGCTTCCGCTTTACCTTGAAATTCTCTAGCAGTATTCAAACTACTAATTTGATTACCATCAATTTTAGCAGCTATTTCTCGAACAGCATTCAAGTTCACTACTCCCAAGTTGTCTGAAAGATTATTACATTTCCAATTCTTGTCTCTGATGTGAGTTTCATACCATTGCTTAGCAGGTCTTTCAAGATAAAATATTAATAAACCTAAAGCCTCCGCTCTTCTAGAAGCCTGTCCTGCTTCAGGAGTTACATTTATTCAACTAGCTACTACATATCTCTGAAAATCTCTAAGGAAATCTTCTGAATCTTTTCTAGAATGTTCATAAAAAATTGGAGGTCTGCATCCTACCATTTC